TTAAGTGATTCAAGATTGATCGGATAGTAACTGAAACAGGTATTGCTCAAAAACAACGACCTCAGGCACGGCATAAATAATGAGCATTAAACCTTACAATGAAATCAGGGAGAACGCACCTTGACTAGATGGTATGTGTTGGAGTAATGAATGCGAGAGAACATAGGTAGTTTCCATCTGGGGCGCTACTGTTAGCACGAATGTCTGAAGAATCCGAGAGAGGAGGTGTAGGTGAGATGGGGGAAGCCTGGGGAGGCATCAGTGTGTGTACGGTTTAGCGTTTATCACTGGGTGCGGAAACTAGACTGAGGACAAATCAGAGTCGAGGAGTTCATCGTTGTTGGCGTTGTGGGCAGTTGTACTACTGGACCTCCCGGTCCATAGTGGAATTTGTGCGAGAGTGCACTCTAGCCTTTGCGCAACCAAACGCAGACTGAAAGGCAGCAGCGATGTTCCAGATGAGCCCATGGTCAGTATTTAATTAATTCGCCTCTTCTGAAAAACCTTGCCGAACAATAGATTTCGACAAAGGACAATGACCATATTGGCGAGCTACACTCGCCACGTCACAGCGCTGTCCGTAGATATGTTTTGTTTTGTGTGGAGAAGCCTTGTCAGGAGGTAAATTTGTCACATCCTCGGCGGCTGCCGCCGATCGTCCGCGACTGCTTATTCCGGAGGCCTAACCCAACCTAGATGTGCTTACCATTCCTAGAGTTCAAGTAGGCCCAATTATGTTCTGGTTTTTTGGAAACAGCACGCAGTTGTCCTTCAGTTGCATTTTTGAAACATACCTATACTTGTTGTTCAGCCTCTTGCACCACACATTGTAATAATACCCAGAATGATTGCATAAACTGTCTTTCAGAATATATTCTGTTACATTACCTGCATTATCTTTGCTGATGATGCAACCTTTGACAACTGTGTTCCATTTCGTCTGTTCACAGAGCTTGGCAATTTGTTTACAAACGTTTCATCACCAGCCGAGGTGACGTCATCAGTTCTTGTGAAGTGGCACTGATGATGTCACCTAGGCTGGTGACGAGACATCTGCAAACAAATTACCAAGGTCGGCGAACAGGCGAAATGAAATTCAGTTCATCCGAGCTACAAGAACCGATTTTCGATATTTTGTCAACTGTGTTTCTTTCCAGGATCCGGGTGCAGTGCGAACTTTGGAACAAAGTTTAGTTACTCAGGTATTTAACACGTTTTACGAAACCGGTCTTGCCAACAGGTAAGTATTTGAAAGCTTCCATACTTTCCCTTGTCTCTACAACGTGCCACATTCATCACGGGAAATAATGCTAAAATTGCTCATCGTGTCACTTGGACTGATTTGCTTCAGTGTCGCCTATTTTCCGACCTAAGCGATCGGTCCGCAAACGTTTCATCACCAGTCCAGGTGATAGATCCAATGTCACAGGTTGCGAGAACACTGAGGATACCAATCCAAACATTCACTGTTTAAACTGAGGATATCACTTTGGCGGGTGTTGAAACATTTGCATTTTGGCCGTGAACCGATTTTACCGTCATTTTGTTCAATGCTACTCCCATCTTACTGTCTTGTATACTTCATCACTTCAAGTTATGTGGGTTACGTTGCCGGTTATAAAGAGTGATCACACACCAGTGTATCTTAAAAAGCACATTCGGGTTCGAATTTACGAAAATGAATATTACATGTGCTTCTGGGATCCCGAATAGGCTGAGGTAGGAGAAAGCGTATTTTTTCAGTTCGATGCATGTTCGACGACTGAACACATACTGACCTCATAAGTTCGATACAAATGATTTCAAATTATTACTATTATTCAATGGATAATGAATTGCATAGAATTGGTTGATGTACCACAACCTCCCGGTTGCCCTGATCGAAGAAGGAGGATAAACTCGAGGTCTCCATCCGAAGCCTTTGGCCATCTCTCCTGGCCATCTGGTGAGCATGGCTTCTCAGCTAAGGCTATTCCAGACACCTGGTCGTATAGGAGCATTTGGTGAAGTGCAAGAGAAGAGTGACCAAGCACAACCCGAGACTCCTATCCTCGACCATCACTGAGGCTTTCGAAGGCGATTTTAAATGGAATAACCTTCAGCTGACGGGGTACACATGCTCTGTGTCTGCATAATGTGAATGCCTAAATTTTCTTATAATTGAATTCTAGTCTGTTATGCCAGAACGTGTCACTCCTGATCGAATACTAGTTTTAAACTGACTTATTCGAGAATGCACTCCTGGCCGTTTCACTACCAAGTGTAGACTGCAAGAACAGTCCCGCAAAGGACTCGGAGGGCATTGTTGAAAAAAGATTCTTCTTGGAGTGGCGTGCATAATTTCAGATACCATTAACTTTTTCAACTACCTGTCTACACTACAGCCTTTGGAAACCAGCCACGGAAGTTCAGTGTTGGTCCGGTATCACAAAATAAGCGGATGCTCCATGGGGCCGTATCGGCCCTTTTCCAGTCACTTCCATTACCCCGAGACTGGTTATCTAAAACTCATTCGATCAGAGTGAGTTTGCGTCGGCAGCGGAAAACCATCTACAACTTGGGTGTTTTACTAATATGACACTTTCTTATCGGCTGGGTTCCAATGCATCTGAGAGTTCCGTATTCTGGGGCGTCTGTAGCTTGTCACTACCGTCATCCAATCTATTCGAAAGCAAATATCGCTAAATTTTACCTGAGATAAGTATTCTGATTGAGAATGTTTCTAGTGAATAATTACATTCTGGGCTAGATTCAGCTTGGGATCAATTTATCCTTCTCCGTTTCGCTGTCTTCGTTTGCCGTGTATCGTCTATCCCAGGTTCGACACACCTGTTTCCTCAACTTCACTTAGCTCGCCTGTCGAACGGTGTACTGTGGTGTGGCCGTTGATATATGCGTCAGCTTCTTTGATTCACAGTTGATAACTGATTACGTGATTTAGACCAAAGAGGTAGAAGCTACCTTTGAAAAATGACAATCTGTGGGTTCCGACGTGTTACCCTTGTCTGAAACATCTGCCCCCTGCAGATGTGATAACTCTGTTCAAAGGGTGTGTAATCTAACTAACGCGGATAGTACCACACTATCTTCTGGATGAAACAGTTTCATCCAAGGCTCGAAGCGAAGTTATTCAAGTCAGCTTTGTACGCTGATCTGTTTGAAGAACCAGTACACCGGCTAGCAACAGACGGAAACGGAAACGAAACATGAGCACCGAACCACCCGCTTTTTATTCATATGTGGTACTGTAAAGTATGTGTAACGTTTCATATCTCTATCATTGGGTTACTAATCCTAGATCCCTTGCTGTAACTCCTAATAACCCGTTTGTGGTTAGCATCCTTGAGGTCGTCCGACGTAACATCACATCTCCCTGATCGAGGCCTCAAGTGTTTCATCACCTTGGGTCTTAGTCAGGTTAACCTTACAATAAAATAGACACTATTCCCTTATCCTTTCACCGCAACTGCCCCCCATGATCATTTTCGTCGAATATCTATCAGACACGAACAGTACATATTTGGGAATAAGGCTGGTTTAAAAGGTGATTTAGGTCGCGTCGAACTCGTGTGTCATTTTAATCTGCGTACATTATCTAATAAATGGTCACTATCTCAGTTGAGTCATCTATCTCATCTTGAAGATTTTGCCATATATGCTTATCTTTGCTAATCGCTTTTTGAGCTCCCAAGCTAGCTGACTAGGTCTCGATTTTATTTATTTATTTATTTATTTTCACACACGTCTGAATCCAGACTGTGTGCCAAACAAGTCACGGCACAATAATCTTTATAAATTCTCCATATTCCGCTTGAATTTGCGTTCAACATTTCAATCTTCATTCTGCTCTTTTATCTAAATGGGGCACCAAAAGACAGCAATGAAAACCGGCGCATGAAAGTGCATGGTTAATGGTTGTAAAAACTGAACTGAACTGAAACAGTTATTATGGAGCTACATTGACAATTTTATAGGGATTACGAAATGGTCGCTGTGGTGCACCGAAACTGATAGTAAGTCTTCACAATTTAAACATATGTTGCAAATTAGAATAATGAAGGATTCGATTGGATTATATGATGAATTCGTTGTGCAAATGAGGCATGAGCTGAAATGCTAAGAACAGCTGTTTCGATCTGGTTGGTTTTCATCAGTTGTGTGAATCCATAGACCCAATTGAAGATCTGTTAGGTCTTAGGCCGCTTATATCCGTTACCTACTATTAGTTCGCACAGCACTATATCACAGGTGAACACTACAAGTGAAAAGAACACAAGCACAGTAACACTAGTAGCACACGAGAGCAGCGGATCATCACTAAGTTCGTGAACGAATGATAGTTCTAGGAGCGGAAGCTACCTAGTCGAGACAGAGGGCGCACGGTCGGCCATCGATCTCTCAGGTCTCCCAAAATGCGAGAGAGAAGGTACGGCTTTAGCAGCACGGCCTTTTAATGGCGTTGAACACAAATCTCCAGTCGCCAGTTAATTTACAAATTCGACTCTGATGCTTATGTGTGACTCAAAATGACATCGATCAATGCAGGAAGAAGACTGTACCAATCAGTGAGCACAGTGAGCAAAGTTCAACCGGTCGTAGGCCATGGATCAGACGGACAGACTGCGTCAGTATTGTCGTACGACGCAATATTATTGATTAATCTCCGCGAGATCAGTATTGATCTGAGATGACCCTAATTTGGGTCAAAGGTGTTGTAAATTTGTTCGATTTTTTCACAGAAATAACAAATACGCAACCTGGCTTATCTTGGGACGAATAGCAATGATCTTCGTCCCAACAGGATCGAACCCGGGACCTCACAGGAAGAACGCAAGCATACTACCCACTCAACTACAGGGCAGCCGATCAGACTGTTTTCATACAACAAGTATTTGAGTTTTGAAAGTTTCCAACCGGGCCATAACCCTAGAGACTAATGCTGAGATCCGCAAGGTGTGATACCCGCATTAAGCTCGTAAAGATTGGCTGTGCTATGTCGTGTATATTAAAGTGGAAAAACGGTCTGATCAGCTGCCTGGTAGTCGTTCTATCTGCGAGGTCCCTGATGCCACCCTCAGTTGAATCAGTGGATTTGCACTGCCGTTGAAACCCAGCCAGATCGAAACAGCTGTCTAGCGCTTCCTAGCTTTTCAGCTCAAGTCTCGTTTACACGACAAACTCATCATGTAATATGTTGCATATATCTAGAATTTTCATTACTACATAAGTGAAAGTCGCAAGAAAAATCAGAATAAAGTGAAGTTATGAAATTCAGAACCAGTAGACTACGCTCCACAGTTCAGACCAGTAACCTTGATTAAGGATGACGTGACCCGTTTCTTTTCTGTGTTTTCCCTCTACCACCACCAAACACAACCATTGCTCTTCATCTCCATATAATTCCAATTTTTTCAGCACTCCAGCTAATCAGTTATTCATTCTACCGGGACACAATTTTGTTCATGTCCTACTGGGGAACGAGTATGCTTCAGAGAAGCACCAGAAACCCATAATCCATGATGATCTGGCTCAGGAATATCTGGATTTCATTCTCACAAATCTAACCGAAGGTGACAAATCCGGTCTTTTCGAACCGACAGAGCACACAAAACAGGTGCACAAATCGTTTGACGTGCCCGAAACATGTGCACCATCCTACACCGCTTGGAACTATCCACCGCCGGATCAGCCCGAGGAGCACACATTCAAGGCGTTTCTTCACCTACATGTGACCTCTATGCTGGATCAGGTTACCAATAGGAGTACTGCGTTTGGACCAGCCCCAGTTGCCTACGAGCTTCCTACCTGCAAATCATGGTTTATGGTTAGTGCACATATCTGTTCCCGTTTCCTCCTCCACTCAACTTATACTTCTTATGTAGGTGCTCGATCCAACTGTGAAAATATCACTGCTGTCGATGTGGTCTTGTAGCTCAGCTAGTAGAGCGTGTGCTGTACCAAGGCGTAGGCTGTTGTAACGTTGGATTGGACGATACGACTGGACTAGCACGAGCCGTGACCGACGATACGTGCGGCAGCAGTGACCTACAAACAGAACCATACGATCCAGCGGAATATTGACGGTACACTGGTGCACCCTACTGCGGTACCCCAAGCAAGTCCCAATAGAACCGGAAGGAAACGCCTCCCGAAGCAGTACGATACCCGAAACCCGACGGGAGAGAACAAGGAAGACAGGCCTTCAGGCGAGGTAGTATATTTCGCTCGACCGTAAGAGGCGAAGAAAGCAGACAGCTCATCTGCTTGTATACAGTTCGGGGACTGGTCATCAATGATCTTGGAAAATAGCTCGAAAGTAGTGAGTCACGGGAAAATGAACCAATGGGGATCAAACATAGCCGATGGTGCGGTATGAGTCCTTTTTGGCGGATGAATCTGGAAATTCGAATTTTACAAAAATAAATAGAAAAAATAGGGAAAACAGAGGGAAATAGTCACTTTTAAAGGGAAATATGACCTTTCCCCTATCATAGGTGGTGTCCACAAGTCAGCTACTTGTCTTTTCATAATAGCTTCTGTTGAGAAAGCCCTGCTCACTGCCTTCATGTGATGGTGTCTCCCCATCGAAATAAAAGGACAAAAATCCGACATCTATGGCTATAACCGGGTTGTTGAATCACCAACCGTTCATCTAGGGGAGATGACAAAACACCCTGATTCCAAACCATCCACGGAAAAGCGTACGGACCACACACACATACCTTGGTTGTGGCAGTGGGGGTAGAACAAGGGATACTTAGGGCTTGAAATAGTACTTTTAATTTAATCAGTTTTTTAAAATTTTACTTCCTGATATTCAATATATCATGACACCATTTTTAAAGAAGAGGGAAGCGGCCAATCAAAGGTCTACCATGCATCATACAGAGGACAGGAGAAATCGGGCAGTGGTGGTGGGATTCGAACACACGTCATCCGGGTGATAATTTGATGACCTTTACCGCTTGTTCACCACCACCGCCCAATTTTTTATATTCGACGTCAATGACGCATTTGTTGTAATAGTCTTATCCAGTATTGTAAATTTTTTTCACATTGAGTCTTCTTTTGTTTGTTGTGTCACCTCTGTCAACTTGCGTGCAATTTGTTACATGATATCCTGATTTAAACTTCTAGCTGTCTTACATGGGCATCAATACACTATTTTCCTCGGACAGAAAATTACGGTTATTGATACCTGATTCTCTGATCACTCATTGTGTTACCGCGCTCTCAACATCCATGTCAATAAGATCACGGATGCTGGAGTCTGTCCTACCCGTCAAACAATGATAAGTAGACATCTTTGTAAGTACTATATTTACAGTTACGTACTACAGTATTGTTCCATTCTCAAATCCGAGAGGGTCGTTTGTAAGAACTGAAAATACATTTTCGTCTTCGATGCATCAACCCTCCTGGAAGTTCCGGTTGCAAGTCATTAGTTTTAATGGTTATCTCTAAAAAGTATTCGCTTGGTAAGTCATTAATCCACCGGTTTCCTTCACATAAGATGCGATACCTTATTTCTTACACAATATCCGTTTAGAATCTGATACTTTGTTTGTTCTCTTTTCACATTCAGGCATGTTACAAACTGTACACAAGTCTCATGTCGGACGATACACCCGCTTCCGATGGGGCACATGGGAAGCCAGATAATCACTCCAGTGGATCACTGGCTCAATCCTGGCTGCATGCATTTCACATGGCCATCTCTCCTTCGTCCGCGTCTTTGCGCAATTCCGCAACCCTGTGCCCGTCCGTTCTAGACACCGAAACGGATTCTAATGTACGACCTGCTGGTGACGTGCCGACCACATCCCCAAACGATGTGCTTCGTCGACTATCGGATGTGCGTTGTCGAGCTGCACTGTCCGCAGCCGAAGCTCATTACAAGAGCGATCTGCCCATTCATTACTCCAACACATACCATCTAGTCAAGGTGCGTTCTCCCTGATTTCATTGTAAGGTTTAATGCTCATTATTTATGCCGTGCCTGAGGTCGTTGTTTTTGAGCAATACCTGTTTCAGTTACTATCCGATCAATCTTGAATCACTTAAACCCCACGACTGCAGGCACGCTTAAGACTCCGTCAATATAGCTGCCATGCTCAGAAACGCCAAACAGTGAATTTTGGTTTACGAGACATTGATTGCTGGTGTACAACGGCTTTGAATGTAAGTTTTTGTCTGCCGCTGCTAAAAATATTCACATCCGAGGTCACGCATGTTATTCGAGAGAAATCACTGTAACACCACCGTGAAGCACAGCTTAGGTCAAAACAAATGTGACTACTGAGGCTAAAGCCAATTGATTTATATCTGTACCACTTGTGAAGGAATCCTTCGGATCTAACAGGTGATCCGTTTAAAAAATTTAGTTCTTCTATCGGCGTTATTCCAGCAATTTATCCTAATGCACAATTGCTTCATTTTGTATTTTCATTATGGACAGTTTCGTCTCTGTCCATTTCAGACAATAATTCTAACTTCTTACGCATCGTAACTCTTGTGGTGATCACTAAAGTTCATCTCACTATGTTTTGATTTCGAAAAGTTAACGATGCTCCACCATGCAAAATAACACAGCAGTGCGACGCACTTCAATTGTTTAGGATAGTGAGGCCCAAATTCGACCAACACGAAAAGCTCAGTATGGTCAGGGTGGGTGTCTGGGATTGTGACTGGTCACCACTCCCTTACATCTCGCGCAATGCTCCTATATGGCTAAGCATCTCAAATAGCCTCTGCTGAGGAAGCCCTACTCACTGCCTCCTAGTGGCAGAGGTGTTTTCCCACTGAAGTGAGAGGATGAAAAACCAACATTCGGGTTGGTGAACCATTGGTAGTTCACCTAAGGGAGTTGGCTAAAAACCTTGATTCCAAACCAACCGAGAAGATGCGTACGAGCCACACGCATAACTTCCTGGTCGCGGCAGTGGTCACCGGCTCCACTGGACATCAAGGTGTATTGAGTACCTTGGACGTCTGACCCCGNTTAACGATGCTCCACCATGCAAAATAACACAGCAGTGCGACGCACTTCAATTGTTTAGGATAGTGAGGCCCAAATTCGACCAACACGATGATGTTGTTTGGGAACGGTTTTGTGCTTATTTCCGGAATTGGCATGAGAACAGTGACTCGTTAATTGGAACCAGTTAGCCAGCCTACTCTTTCTGTTTTCGGGCTTACAGGATCGTTCCCAAATCTATGAATGGAAACACTTAGGTTAAACGTTACGCTTCGGGTTCTGGACAGGGATATCCTTGCTATTTGGTGCTGTTATTCTTTCAGTCGGTTTGCTTTCCGACAAAGAAATCATAAACACTACCCAAAGATAAAGCGTGTACAACCACCTACTAGGCCAAATGGTTGGCAAAGTAGTTTGTTTTCTGGCATTCATAATTATGCCAAAACAGCATGGTGTTAATAATTCAATACAAAAAGGAGGAAGGTTACTATGAGAAAAAACAACGGATAACAAAAGCACTTGTAGATATGCTAGCTTTACATCACCGTGCTGGTACCCATAAAAATATGCATGTGTTTAAAACCTTCCCTTCTCCCTTCCATACAAAATCAGAACCGCACAATCTAGACTGGAGACCACCAGTTTTATCTCATTTATTGGAAATTAAAATTATTGTGAACTAGTAACGGTCGGTGAGAGTTTGACTTCTAACAACAGTGGAAGCCATCGGCTTCGTTCTCCATACTCACTCGGTGCATCCAAAAACAGTTCATCCATGCCCATGTGCTCCCAAGATGGAGCCTTCAACACGCGATCAATAATATATATGATCCGAAGAGATACTAATGAGAAACTCCTGTTCAAAGTTGAGATCAATTCATACCTGGAGTACGTAAACATTTTTCGCACCCTACCACCCCTTTTCCCTTGCCAGCTGGCCTTTTTGTAATTAATAATATACATACAGTGTTGTATTGGCACACGACTATTAAGCTCTGGAAGTGAGCTTGGTTGGGGGGCTGTTCAGACAATGTCTATACCATAATTTACTCATTCCCTTTTGTATGCGAATCTAATGATGTTTTTTTAATTCCACTCGTTCCCTATTTCTCTTACAATTAAAAAAACATCTACAGGTTGTGTCCGCTTTCAATGTGTTCCTCAGTCTGGCTCGTGGACCCGCTGTGTTCCGGGCATTAGAGCAACTATCCCAACGTTTGGCCCACATTTATCTAGCTGGTCGCGTGACATGCAGCGCGGTATCCGTCACCGGACATGCATGCCAGTACGAGATGCACCGTGTCCCGGACGATGCAGCTCCGCTCCGCGCCGTTCTAGCCGGTTTGGATAGGAGAACATTATACGCGGATGACGGTGCCCTCGACCGAGCTTATGCTTCTCGCGCTCCAGGCTATCGTCGCAATCACCACCATCATCAGAATAGTCTAGATGCGAAAATGGCCCTTACTCGAGTTGTTCCATCTGGTAAGACTCGGGTGACTTTTAAAGAGTTAATCAACAAATCGATTTCGTTGAAACCACATTCGCACTAAAATCTCTTTATTATTCCTTTTCAAAAATGAATAAAACTCGATCGGGCATAATTCATTGTTGTAAGTATACCTATACTGACGGTGTTCAACTTGTTTACTGCTTTGTCTGTTTCCCATAGGACTAATGGGCAAATGGCGTGCCTATTGGATTGAATCGCTTCTCGCCTGTCACCCATCTGAAGCAACCGAACTGCTCAGTCCAGGCGATCCAACTCCTCTCGGAGAAAACCAAGAACCACCGAAATCGTCATCAAAAGATACCACAACCGGGATCACAGACAGTGCCTCACTGGACGGTAAACAACATTTGGCCGTGATGCCCCATCGTTCCCAACATCTGCTACGGCGCTCATGCAACTGTGGTCGAGTACAAGACTTATGTTGGGACCCATTCGATTACAAAGATGCAAACTGGCGTTTCTACGCATCTATGGACAGTGTGTGCTGCAATAAGGTTCGCCATATCTGTATCAGTTTGTACTTTTATACGTGGTTTTTGGTATGAAATGTTATTTATGAAATCGTTTTTTACCAAGCAGAGTCAATGCGATTATCTTCACTGGGAAAGCCTTGACCGCTCTGTGCAGCAGTCAGGAATCACTGAAATTGCGCATCCTCCGAATCCGCTGGGATTCAAACCCAGACACGAGGGGGTTGCTACTCCAACCCGCTAATCACTTGGGTTATCAACAAACGTGCTACACGTCAACGCACCACTCATCCGTCACTGTCGTTGCTAGCATCACAGTTTAT